ATTTGAGGAAAGGTTGTGTTAACTGAATGAAGTAATGAAGGTTTGATGAGGTAAAAGAAGTAACTAAGAGTCTTCAGAGGTGTGAAAAAGAGGATAAAATGTGGTGATGAACAAGAGCCTTCCTCTAGCACTAACGAAAATGAAAGGGTGCCGAAAGCAGTTTGTACTGACTGAGCCTTCTGAGAAAAGTACCACTTTAAACTGTGTAGGAAACGTGTATATTAACAAATACAGAAGTGATGTGGGGACACATTTATATCACAGGAATGCTGATGTGCACCAATATATCTGTTCTCTTGTTCCTTTTCTGTGAACACATTTAGAGTAGAGGGAACACGTTCTTGTCTGGCAGCCGTCACTAGCCCAGCAGAGATAAAGAGAGGTTACAGGTCTGACTGTAGTTAGGAAAACATCTGTAACAGAAAACACTGCACTTACAATAAAATGCTAGCTGTGTTTCCCCCTTACCAAGTGTGGTACTTAACACCTCACATTTTAAAAGGGAGAAAAACCAAAAATACTAGCCCCACATTGCTGGCTGAAATCAGCACCCCCAAAGGAGCGAATCCAGGTTACGGTATTTGCTCGCAAGACGATGTTAGAAGTAGTGCCTGCATTCCACACGTTCTCCACTGCAGCGACAGCCACAGCAGGAGGTGAGTTTCAAAAGCAAATGAGTGCTGAAAACCTTCAGTCAAGAATTCATTTGTAAATAGTTATATGGCTGTTTTGATGAATTACACAGAGATACTCAGTCTGCTCCCATATCAACTACACTGCTTATGACAATTTGTTATTTCAACAAAGCAAAGTTTCTTTTCCAAACAAGTATCTTTGTTCAACGGAACTGTTAATTGAAAGATGTTATGCAATTAAGAAATGAAACTAAGTGGGAAATAAAATGTTTTTCAGAGGCATTTCTATCATTTAACAAGACCCAAACTGCTGTCTCTGCCTATAATTGCCAAGAATTCCTTTAGTAGTTGTCATGGGCAGAAAATCTAACTGAGCAAAAAGCCAGATGACAACAGATGCATTTGGGGGGTTTTAATACTTAAGCTGAGTCTTGCCCTAGACCCAGAGTTACCACAAGGCAGACCCTAGCTTACAGTTGCTGCTGAGGATAAAAGGTGGCTGCAGGACCACCAGGCTCTGAGCTGTGCCACTTTTGCCCCCCTCAATACCTGCCCCATCACCCAGATGGCAGGACAGATGAAAGGGAGCACGAGGAGCCCCAGAGGTCAACTAATTCTGCAAACGACCTTTGTGAACAGTGCAGGAAAGCTTTGAGGTCCACAGGCTCCCAGGCCTCACTCTTGGCTCCCAGAGTAAGACTAGACAGTGGGCTAGTGAAGAAAAGTTGATGTAAAGCAGGTCATAAAGCAGTATGCATTTAAACTGACATTTTTGTTTCTACCTAAAACCTGCTGTTATCTCTCCAGGAATGCATAAAACCTAGCCAAGTATTTTCTTAGTATGTACAGAGGCCAAATGCCAGAGACTGTACCTTCAACAAAAAGAAGAATCTAGTAGCACTGAATTTTTCCTCAGATGCTATCACAAAGACTACGTGATTAAAAATCCCCATGAAATCAAAGAGATTTCTGCCTCTTAACATCTCTTAACAGAAATTCACATATGGACATTCCAGAAGGTGGGGCTTTTCAGTAAGTTCTCGTATTTTTTTATATTTTTCCAGAGTAACACTAGCTACAGTGTCCCAGCAGAGTGCAGCTATGGAGTATGAATGAAGGCACCGCCTTCGAGTGCACTTACGTCCCAGTTCAACAATTCTGAAGCACAGTTTCTGTGAGTAATGCATTGCTGGATAACCCAGCCATCACAAATAAATGTTCTGTGTTCACACTTGCCAGGAGAGGGGAATCGTAAGATGGTGGCAAACATGATATAGCAACAGTAAATAAAACCAAACAAGAATACCCTCCCAAAAAAACAGTGCATGCAACAAGGCTCTGCCACAGTCTTTGGCTGAATTTACTTGAAGAAAAGGAATTTTTCTTTTCCTGCCCTGTAAAAATGGAATAGACAAAAAAATGCTTCAAGCCACTGATGGCTTTACAATTGAAGAACTGATACCTATGGATCAACATGACCAACAACGAACTGAAAATAAAACTCAATACTACTGAGCACTCCCTTGCAGGTGTGGGAGAAGATTATCCACCAAACTCCTAAAATCAGATTTATTTTTGAACAAGAATTAGCAGGACAAAAACTAATGTACCAAAATGGGACTATTCTAATCATGTTGGATATAGTCCAAAAACTATTTAAATGGTGGATTTTACGGTCTGGTTTTCTCTACTGACACTAGGCAATACGGTGGTGCTAGAAGGGAGGATCATCACAGCTAATTTTTCTTGTTAAGCTGTGACAATGAGACTATCTTTGAAAACCTAGGAAGGAAGGAAGATAGGGAGAAAACATAAAGCCAAAATTCAGTTGAGAGTACATTGGGACAGAAAATAATCAACTGACCTGTGGATAGAAACACATCAGGTTAGATATATCCCAATAGCCCAGAAATGTAAATGGCACATTGCCACCACATGATCTATAGTGTAAATCTGTATCTTCTGATGGCAGATGGAAACTATTCTAACTTTTTTATACTGTCAGCAGAAGTAAGCATACAGCTTGTTATTATACAAATGTGTGCAATTTACTTTACATAAACACACATACACGCTTCTTTTTCGGCAAGGCAGTTAGTGCTTAATCTATGTCTTCCTTCAAACTGCCTTTTTAGAAAGTGCAAAGTGCACCTTGGTAAAGTTTGGCTCTGAAACACTGACCACTCCCCGAGGAAGAACTGTCCCTCGGTGCAAAAGGTATCTGCAAATTATGAGACTGGAATTTCTAACCAAGAAGCAAAATCAGTAGCGAAAAGGATGAGAAAAAAGTGAGATGATCAAAACAAGGGAAGTGGAAGAAAAGAAAGCAGCTATATAAAAACCCATTATCAATAGAATGTTGCAGAACAGCTATTCAGGGCTTAGTGACAGGAAAGAACGTGCATATGTTTCTGAAAATAGGACTTCAATGCTGACATTTTACATCAAAACAGAGCAAGGTAGATACTCCACAGTACCTGGGCACACTGGGATGGATTGATTTAATCCCCTCCTGACAATTCAATTTCTTTAAACTGGAACTCTTCTTCAGGGTGGGCTACAAATTGTTTAACAAGTTCTTCCTTAAATCCTCCAAGGCTACAAATTCCTCCTTATCTTTCACAAGTATTTACATTTTTGACACAGAATAGAACAGCTCCATTAGAGGAAGATAACCACCACAAATATTTAGCATTGCCATCAGGGAACATTCAAGAGAGCAAAAAAATTACAAGCCAACACCCTGAAAGTACAGGAAGTAGCTGAACCTCCGGGAGGTCTTCCACATTTCTGCAATTTGGTAGCACACTATACTTCAGGTTTGTCAACTTAGAGCCAATTTTTGTTCCAACTATAAATAGTCATAAATTTCAACCTAATATGGACGAACAGTTTTAGGCTGACCAAAGCACTTTTTTTGCAAGCAATCAACTGCCTATCCTTACTTAATTGACCCATTTCCTGTGAGGAAACCCTCCAAAAAGTATTGATAAGACAAGTTATCCTTTCCTGCACTCACTGTAACACTGTCAGCTTGTTTCTGTTGCCCAGAAAAAAATGTTATGTTACTTCAGAAGTAATGGTAGCTTTCAAAATAATCCATTTCAAAAGCAAGATGATAATTTTCATTCACAGTATTACTTGTTAGAGAATTTACATTCTCCTTCCATTTGTCTTCCAAGAGAAACTTAAATCCAAGTTTATTTCCTTCCAGTTATACTTTTAATCTGGATTCTGAGAGTATTTACTGCCTTAGAAAATGTGTCCTTGGCTCTGTTTGGGGTTTTATTTTGACATCTAAATGAAATCAAAATTGGAGGCAATAGATGCCTCAATAGGAACCACAGTCAAAGTTCAGGAATTGCTTCTCTGTGTAAGGTGGGAGCAGGGGGGGGAAAGAAAGTAGTTTATTTCTGTGCTGAACCCTGAAACTCAGGGTTCAGCACACAGAGCAGGACTCTTGAATTCTCTCTGGTGCTTGCACAAAATAAAGCCCAAACAGAAAGAGGTGAAACTCTTTCTCGTCAACAACCACATTAGAGAGCCCAGTTAAGACATTCCTTGACACAGTCAAACGTTAGCTTTCTTCTGAAGCATAAACATGACCATGTTTAACCTAGTCTGAGTCAGATGATTGGTGTGCACCACATTAAAGCTCTGGTCTGGTTCAAGGACACCACTAAAGCGCAGCGATGCTGAATGACTGCTGCCCTGAACAGAAAGCTCCTCTTTCCACTGCTCCCTGTGCAAGGCAAGAGGAACACTGAAACACTAACGTGCTGGAAAGACACTTCCTTTCAGTTCGCTCCAGCTACTATTTTACATCTTCTTTCTCTCCCCTCAATATGCATCCATGTCAAAAGAAATTACCCTTTCTTTTTATTCAAAAAATGGTTTCTAACTGCCCCCATGCATACGGTAGAGTTTAACATTGAAAATGTTTGCTCACTTTTCTCCCAGTTTAAACATTAAGGGTTTTTTCTTCCAGCTTCTGAACCACAAAAAAAAAAAAAAAAAAGTAATAAAAATCAAATATATTGCAGTTACTGATGAGAGTTGTCTAAACAGCTAGACTAGTTACAAACAGTCAGTGATGACAGCCTACCATATGTTAAGCTTCCCATTATGTTGCCAGAAAACATTATAATCACCTTAATTATAGCAATAGTGATTTTTTCCCCTCAATGACAATGTAATGCAAGAAAACACAACTACTTCTGTTCTGTAGTGTATTAATGCCTATAGCAAAGGCAAGCACATGCACATACTGTCAAGCATTTGTGCAAACAGATCAAGTTGCCAAGTACGCAACTAACCTGAATGGTCTCAAAATGGGGAAAGAAAGCAAACATTACCGTGTGTGTTTTGTTGAAATATTTTGTTCAGATCCAAAGAGGAAGCTCTGGAATGTGATTTTTGTGGCCTTGGAGGTGGAGTAGGGGGCTCTTCTCCCTTTTTCATGGCATCTTCTATTGATGTACTAGAGTAAGACCTAAGGAAAAACAGAGAAAATGGGGGGAGGGGGAGGTAGAAAATTACCTTTTTTCAGAAATTAATTTTAAACAACTACAGTGAATAGTACCTAAAAGTACACTGACCAGAACTCAGGTTCATGGCAGAAACTCCTTGCCCTAATAACTAGAAGCTCCCACTTGTACTAAGACACTTGCAATTTCGTAACAGACAAACCTACACATTTGGAGAAAGGAAAGAATCCTGCTTACAGGGCTAGTATTATTTTAAGGCCTTTTATATCACAGCTTCAGGCCTTCTTACCTAACTTTAACTGTCAACAGGATAATTGTAGCTACTATTTTCAATAAACCTGAGTAAAATTCCCCCCCGCCACTTAGAGTTTCCACTGCCTTTCCCAGCTGTGAGGATAGTGTTTCTACATGTATACCTTCAACCTACCTCTTGCAAGTACACATTTTGTAATTTATACTATTCTAATATTTAAAATAGATTTTTCCTAACAGTCACCAAATTCCACAAAATCTAGAAAAACCAAATGGCTCCAAAGTGACCTGATAAAATACATGGCTCAGTACCTCTTTCCAGGCCTTCCCATATCACATCAATCCCAGGGCAGTACATTTGCTAAGAATTTTGATTTTGCTGAATAGTGTCCAATATTTTTCAGCTGTTGTAGTTACCATTTTCTTCTGCGAGACTGAGAGCTTTGTTCAAAATGAGCACTGACAATGTGAGATGTTACACTTACTGTAACACATTACACATGCCAGGCAAGACCAAAAACACATTGGAGTAGAACAGAAATAACTCTCACTAATGGGAAACGGATCTTTTTTCCTTTTTTCCCCCCAAACAGGCTGTTGTTAGAAAACAGCACTTTAGCAGGACAGACATTTGGCAATGCTCATCCTGTGTTTCTGATACAAACTTTAATAAATACAGGAGTGAAAGATGTTATTGCTTCAAATTTTACATGTGACACAAAAACCTCTGTTGATGCTGAATTTTTTGTCTTGATAAGAGTTTTGAATTCCATAGCCTTATCAGATCAAACCTAACTAAACCCCCCTGAAATAAATGGGAAAGCTTTCAATCAGGATCTTAAGGTTTTGTACTTCTACTTTCCATATTATGCAGTGTGTATTTTCTTGCATTAAAATGGTGCAACTTAACAGTTTGAGAGTCTTAAATTTTTGTTAAAGATCAAGTAAGACACCAGCTACCAGGCAAAAATATACCAACTCAAAAGTGCCAACACAGAGCCCTGTGACAGTGAATTGTTGCTTGCAGCAGGCGGACCTGGCATCTAGAGGTCAGTTGTCAACAGCCTAAGAATCTACACAGCTTAGGCTAGAAAGCCATGAGTCTCTCCAGAGCTGAGAGCTGTAACAGATTCAAATTATTGCCTCTGGTGGTCAGGCACACCTAAAGACAGAGACCCTCAAGCCTATAGAGCCCTCCAGGCTGTGCAGCAGAAGGTGTGAGTTCAAGGATGTGCTCAGGAACCTTTAGTCTTCTGCATTGAAGTAGCGACACATAGTCAGATGTGACACAATCATATGTGACACAGCAGTCACATTGAAGTGACTTTTTTCCCAATTTGTTTAAGCACTTGCTATTTTATACATTTTTGCATTAAATACTTTTTTATACCTTTTTCTTCATATTTGCAATTTATGATTCACTAACATGGCAAGGAAATTTAGAACAGTATGAAAACTAGAAAGCTCTGGCTAGCAACAGAAAAATAGCACACAAGGCAGTTCAGCCTGCCTGGATGTAGGTCCTAAGAAGAGAGCTTTTCAATCTTCCTCCATCATGCTTATAGCTGATTCTCTTACTAGCAGGCTTTGTAAGGAGGGAGCTCCTGATAATACTCTCATTAACTGAAGAAAAAAAAAGAATAAAAAATGAAGCCCCCTAACTAGCACCCAAACCAAAAGTTTTAGATGCACTATATGGCTACACATGAGAATGGTGAACTCCAAACCCAACACATACTCCATTTACACACAGTATTTTCTGGCACAGGTTTCCCTTTACTTTTAAACATTCAGCTTCACCATATGTCATTTCTAGCACACAACAGTGTAAGCCTATTAGCCCCTGCATCACACACCATCTAGCCATAGTCAAGTACATGCACACCAATGAAAGGATTCACTCACCCACATTCGAGAGCTGAGCTACCACTGATGTTTCTATGGGAGCGTGCAGTGTCTCCCTCCATATGCAACCACTGTGTAGGTTTCACAGCACGAATTTGCTAAAAACGTTCCCTGTGATGGGGTGATCCCCACTGCTCCACCCCGATGCCCCTGGGGCTGGGCTGGAGGCAGTCACCACCCTGACAAGGCAGAGGGGCTGGGCAGAAAAGCCCTAGTGCCTTATGACCAGAGACCAGGGCCCAAGGGCTGTACTTATATAGGGTCTGTAGTTACAGACCCCTCCTGGTAGATCTGTCTGGTCTGAGCTGTACTTTCAGCACACCACCAATTAAAAAAAAGGGGGAAAAAAAAAAAAAATCAAAAAAGTCAAAAATGTGATACCAGTTCATATGCCTTGCATCTAACACCAGAGGAACGTATGTCTTGTCCTGAAATAGAAATGAAAGTAGTACCTGGATCGTGGTCTGGCTTTAAGTGCATTAGATTCCTGAGCAGCTGGAACAGAAAAGAGAATCACTAAAATATCATATTAAAAATAAACACTTTTAACTGCAGAATCAGTGTCTGTTAAAAGTGAGAGTGTTGCAAATGTGGATGTGAGAGCGTGCTCATCTTACATGAGCAATTTTTGCTTCTCCTTCCCCTTTGCTTTTGTAGAGTGTGGATGTCCTAACAATTCAAAAGCCCACGTGTGCTCAGAGCTTCACCTTTTAATTCGGTTACCAGACACAGGTAAAGCAACAGGTCTGACAGCTCTGACCTGTGCTCCTAGATGCGATTGTGACAAAGCAACATAAAGAATAGCATAAACTTTCCACAGAAAACATCTCACTCCTAGCTAGGTATCTATTAGTTGTTCTGCTTCCCAAAGCACGATGTTTTAGGTCCTTCCTACATACTTTAACTAGTTAGTATAAATGTACATCTTACGATCCATAAGAAAAATTAACACATCAGGTTGAGACTACTTTGATGTTGGGAAGGAAAGATTCTTGAAGGTACAAAGCTTTACAGGCTAAGTGTTGATAAAACACATTTCTATCAGTGTAAAGATCAGTTTCTTCTATTTGGATGAATTTCAAACATGGTCCCACACACAGGTTTCACACAATAGGAAAACAGCAGTGCTGATTATCTTCTCTGGGTAATTCCTTGAGGCTGTTCCTTGGTTTACATCGTCTTTTTGTGACTTTTACTAACATCAGATCATTTTGAGGAAACGTATCTGTGATCGCTTTCACATTCAGCCCACTGCAATATCCTCAGCGTATTACAGTAGCATCAATGATCCCAATGCACACACAAAGTGAATCCTTGTACTTTTCCCATTATTCTCCTAATCAAGTTGCAACACTTAAAGAGAAGCAAGCAGGTTGGAGAAAAAAAAACCCAAAATCCATAATTCTCAGAGTTTCTAGCTTCCTTCAGATATATGCCTACTTCCAAGTCACACGTTTATCACCAGCTACTATACAGCACTACCTGAAATACAGCAGATCCTTCAAAACACGGAGCAGGAGCTATCTGTGGTAGCCTCTGGCAAATACTGACTTTTTAATAGCTTGCATTGTACTACTGCATAGACTCTCCACAGGAAGCTTTAAGCTCACAGAAGACAAGTAGCAGCATATGGCACATGTACAGCCACACACTTTCTTCATAAAAGAAACCACTTTTAGGGTCATGCAGTGCTAGTTGGTGCTTTCGATGGAATAAACCCAAATGCAGCTGGCAGTGACACAAAGGACCACTTATAAACCAAGTTCTAGTAGATTACTGTCACCACCAAACTGGCGCACAGTCATTCCAGATGTCTGTGCAACAAACTCTTCCTAGCAACTAAAGGAGGAAGAGGGAATTATTATTAAAATATGCAGTGGTGATAATCCTCCTCTCTCTGTCAAACTCCCAGAATACAACTTCAGACACCGCTTCCCTACAGCCATATGACCCAATTTTTCCAATGCTGAAATTGCTGATTATTAAATTACATGCACAATTATTAAACATATGCCACTTAGAAACAGGAACCATAAATCCTTTCCAAGCTAAGCGATGTTTAAGAACCTTCAAGTTTTCTTTCTTTCATGGAGACTGTAATTCTCTTCCTACTTCTTTTAGAAAGCCTTTCCTCTAAAACCCTACAGGTAGAACTGACATTCAAACTCTCCAAGGACATCTTGTTGAGGTAAACAGGAAAGCACACAAGGAAAAGAGAATCCCAAAATGACTACTAATAAAAAAATGACAGCAATAGAATACTACTGCCAAGGATTTTCTTTTAAGCATTTGAAAACTCAGGACATCCAAGGCTACAATAAGCAATACTCAGACTTAGCTTAACCTTTCAAAAGTAGTAGTATACTGTAAAAAAATAAATATTGTAAAGCAGGTAGTTCATTATTAGGACATATGAATCATTATGTCACGATTTCCAAAACGTGCAGTTACTTTGGTACGCTCAGTCTGCACGGACTTAGTGTTTGAGGTGCAGGTTTACACACATACACAACAATCACCCAAGATGATACAAAACTACTTATCCAGTTCATGAGTCTTCCATATTTCTATAGCTATGGATACATAAGCCTAACTTACATGGAACTGATAAAAAGTTGAAGCTGTTGAGAAAATTTATTACATTTATTATTTAGAAGTTTGTATGATTCTTGGAGTAGTAGAGCCTGATGAACTGAACAGCTTGATCTGCTCTAATTAAAGTAATATATGATCATGAACTCTTATTTACTCATTCACAGGAGAGTGTGAAGGTTCCAGTTTTGCGCGTTTAACTGCTCCCACACCCCTCTTGCAATGCAACTTCATTTTAACATTCCAGAGGATGTTGATCCAGTACTTTCATCTGTAGCCTAATATGTTACACTGAACTGGTGCCACCTTGTTTTACAGGCTGAAGATCTAGTGGAAAATTGTACCATAAAAGGTACAAATACGCCACATGGCTAAGAAAAAAAACCCAAACCAAACCCAAAGAATTCCCCACTAGTCTAAATCCCCTCCAGTGACTCAACTTTTAGTGGTGGCCTAGGCTGAAAGGTACAATCTAAACTCTTGCAAATTTGGACCTCAACCCTGTAACAGTATAAGGCCAACAACAATCTTGCATTTAGGAGCTTAAATAAACTGGCCAGATATTTGGAGATGATGAGAATATAAAGTTTTTACTGATTTCAGATTTCTAGTCCTCCTGATGGCAACGAAAACTCTCCCATAATGAAGCATGACAGTATCATCTTTGCATAAATTACATAATTTACATAAACAGTCCAAATGAATAACCAAAGGAGGATGTGAAATTTCTCCCACTTCATCCCAACTGAGTTTTCATCCTGAAGGTTAATGATTACAATGACCTTTCAGAACGGTGACCAATTCTGAAATAGCCCTTCAACTACTGTGCTGTATCTGGCCCACTGGACAGATGAAGATTTTTACTCCTAACATCAATTTTATCATGTAGCCTGCGAATGTGCTTGCTCAAGCCTTCAATGTGCAGGATACCAACGGTGAAACCACTACAGTGACAGAAGTCATGACAGTGGAATGAAACTCCGCCACCATCCCCGCTGGTACAGAAACACAGCAACGCTGCTGTAGGAGCATACCAGCATTGGGATGACCTCTCTGAGTAGAAAATAAAGGACATGGGGAAAAGAAGTTGGTGGCAAAGGAGATGTGCAGGTGATAATGGGGTTTGGGTTTTTTTTCCTTAAGTGAATCGAAGATGGAATTGCTGAACTGAAAATAAAACTCTCCAGGGTGCTCTGGGTATAACTGGGGGGGAAGGAGAACAGAACTGAAAGTCTTAACAACCACCCTCCTCTCCCCCTGAGAGAGATGCATAACAGTGTGTGTGTGAAGGAGAAGCAGCAATCATTTGAGAATAGGAGCTGAAGATAAGAAATCTGGCAGCTGCCAAGTGTTTGGGAAGAAGCCAGGAAAAAAAGAGTTGGGAAATGAGGCATGCAGCTGTTGAGCAGTCATGAATAAATCGAGCTATAAGACAAAACTGCTGTGACAGACATGTGGGGTCAGTTTTCTTTATCAAGGGTATCTTCACAAGTGAAAACATTTATGCAAAGGGAAAAGAAAGCAAGTCCAGATTTTAGCTTCACTGGGAGGGCTTGTGAACACTCTTACCACTCTAGGAGAGATTAACAATGATGAAGGCAAGGGAGGTTGGATGAACTGAACTGAACGCACTCGAAGCTTCTGGAGCAACTAAGTAATTCTGTCATATCCTGTTCCAGAAATAACGTTTTCCAGTATGATAGCAACAAGGAGTGTACGTTGGAGAAAGAAAAATCAGGGATGGTTTCAACAAAGAAACACCCCCTCCAAATCAAAAGCCAGCATCAGTGCTGTAAATGCCTCAAGGTTGGTGTTACCCTTAAACTCCTTGACAGAAAATACGAATGCTCAGTTTTCACCAAAAAACCCAGACCATTTCAGAATGGTTACTGAAACACTGCATAGTTATTCTGCACTTTAGAAGTCTTACTAAGGAAGTACGACATTCATGCTCTTGCATATTCTTTGTAGCATAGAAAAGCTTCAGACTCCTTAAAAAAATGTTACGTTAAAAACATTTGCCACATGTGAAGAACACAAACAATGAGGGAAAGCAAGCAAGCAAGCCTCTGACATTCTGAAGCAGTATTTAATATTTATCTTGCATGTAGTAGTCATTCTGAAGTAGAAGCTAATTTCAGCAGTAAAATAGTATAAGAGCAAAATGATCTTAATAAAATTAATCAGATTACACTAATTTAGGCTTACTGTGATATAAAAATATTTCATCAAAATTCTAACAGAAGTAACACATGAAATCTTTTTCTTCTTACCTGTTTTCACAGTCAAGTGCTGAAATTCCTTTGGTATCGTTTTGAGAGCAGTGCTTACTTTAACAGCTTAATGAAAAAAGCAAAACAATGAGAATTACTTTAAGTATGTGCAGGCAAAATCTACAGGTATCAGTTCTGAGAAAGGAGCATCTAAACTGGTATTAGAACATCTAATAACACCAAACATACTTGAAAAGAAAATTAGCCAAATACCCTCAGAACACCCAAGCACTTAAAAAAACTAACAATTTTAAGAGCACAAAAGTCAAGAACAGAAAGGCCTATGCCCAAGCATCCAAATAATCTCAAATTTTGAGGATTTTGGGGTTTGAGTGCCTAAAACCAAGGACAACTTCTGTTTTAGAGATCAAGCACTCTCACAGAGATAGAAGCTGGTGACACTTGGCAGAGCTAGGACTCATTTCTCCCAGGTTACAAACCTGGAAAGCCAAGGCATGTGAGGGACTGGCTGCTCCTGGCAACTCACCAGCCTGCTCCAGGGAATGTCACAGGGCACCAACAGAGCCAGGGTCAAAATTTAGTAATCCCAATCTTTGTGCTTATTCCCCTTCCACTGATGCCTACACACCCTTTCTTAATTACTTTATTCGTGTGTCCTTAATTCACTATAGCGTATTTTAATGTACTGTAATACGGAGTATTATAAACGATCACTTGGACTGAAGCACCTCATCTCCATCTGCCTTTACCAGACAAAACACAAAATAAAACCAAGTTTGGTTCTTGTAATGAAGTTCTACTTACATTACCTTCCACGTTTAACTATATTATAACCCAACAGAGTGGAGCTAATTTACGTGTACAGTTTTGAAAACGCAGAAAAATTTGCTTCTTCAGTCATGAACTACAGGTTCTTGATTTCTGGGGACATTTCCTCAGTCAGGGGAGCAATCTGCTCTCACATTTGTCAGAATAACAATAAATGGTATAACAAGAGCGCTTGTTCTTTGCCTGAAAAGGTAGGAATCTCTGTCACAGATACAGCAAATCTTCAGCCCTGAAGGACTGCATGTACCAAAACAGCTTCCCATCTGACTTAACATGTCAGCTACAGAAAGCAAAGCAGTTCTTCAGCTAAACAGGGAAGAAAAAAAATTTCCCTTAATAAAAGTAAGCCTTCCCTAGACACTTCAAAGCAACAACCTCCAAGGTTCCAAGTCCTGCTCTGGTTCATTATGAATTTTACAACAAAACAAACCTTGTCAACAAAACATTACTTTCTTGGAACACCCTGACTTGTCAAAATGTTTTACAAACTCCCGCCAACTCTGACAACCTTTCTTTGAACCAGGGACACTGGGACTCTGCCAAACTCTGTCACACTTGAACGTGGATTTAGGAATGTGGACTACCTGGTCTCACAGCCCTGATGCAAACTCAACATGTGGACAGCTGGGAGGTCAAATTTTTTTATTTTTTTTTTTTTAAATTAATGTATAATCCACAGTTCTGAAAATGAGGCAACAAAATACCCACAAGTGTTTTGCTTGCACAACTGAGGGACCTGAAAGTTACCAGCAAGTGAGAACCTGAAAGGCTGGCTAAAGGGAATGTAAAAGGGAATGAATTCACTGTGTGATGATCCACTGCCAATTCTGGAAGCTGAGTGGAAAAAGATCACTTCAGTTTCACATGGCTTGTTCTTGATGGATTTTAAGTGAAGTAAATGTATTGAGTATTTTCAATCCAGTTTGTCCAAAACCTTTGTTTTGCAAGAAAATATGGGGGGTGGGAGGGGTGGGGGGGGTGTTGTTTTGGTTTTGGTTTTTTTTGTTTTGTTTTTGTTATGGTTTTTTTTGTTGTTTGTTTGTTTGCTTTTTAATAGGTCTAAAAACTAATTTTGAGGTGTTGCTATTTCCTGCAAAAAGCGGAATCCAAGATTTGGCACAATGGTTGTCACTCTTACAAAATTGCTTATAACAACAATTACAACTTCATTGAAATAAGTAAGTGCAGCCTTAACTGCCTTCAGACCAGACTTATTTTAGAAGGTGCATTTCTTATCATTCATATATGATAAAACCAATTTTGAAGCAAACCTATTCGTTCATCTTCCAACTCAGCTGCTATCAATAAGTTGTCTCTTTCATCTACAGCAACACGTAGCCATCTTAGAAATTAAACATACCACTGCTTCTATCAGCAAATGTATGGGATTAGTAAAACCACAGAGAATTTAACTCTTCATGGGGAAAAAATAGATTTATTAGAATACCTTCTTTGTCATCTTTCTTTCCCTCTTGTAACAGAGCAGAGTTGTCAGGTACCTCTTCAGCTGTTGTCTTCTTAAAGGAAGAAGATTAATTTATTATACTGATTGGTAGAGCTCACACATTTCCACAGTCAAATATTTAAGAATACAGGTTAACAGAAATAAGTGTGATAATCTCTCTCACACCACAATTTGCTTTGTCAGATTGAAGCAGCATAGAGGACCTACAGAAAGACAATATAACTCTGCTTTTTAAAGTACAGCAGTTCCATACCTGAAATCAGTTAGAGAAGCACTTTCATAATGAATTACAAGGAGCTAAGGACTATATGCAAGGAGAGAATTCGCCCAACAGAGCAATGTCATTCTGTGTTTTCTTTTCTCTTTGGATGTCACATCCATGTTAGGGTTGAGGAAACCTTCTCTAGTCCTTTCCCAAAAGCCAGTCTCCCTAGCCAAAAACTCCAGAACCCAGCAGTTCTGCATTTAATGCCCTCTGGCTGAGGTGGCCAATCCTTCAACCACTCTTTTCTTTCAAAATGCAATCACTAAGATGGGAAAAACACATTTCATTAGCATGTCTGTTGAAGGCCCATTCAGGCCTCCGATTAGAAAATGGGGAACAACTCCTCAGTCTTATTCCTTAACTTTTCTTTATTTCAGGAGTGACTTATAGGCACTTGTTGTTAGTGTAACTTCTGCTGCCTAGCTCGCAAAATGGAACCAGGAACGAATTCTACCTCCATTATCTCTAACAGCAAGGATACACTCTGCAACGAAAACAGCAATAAAGCAAACATCAGAAACCCCAAGCTTCTCTAAATATTAAATGATGCTGATTTTGTTCCCAGTGAAAAGGTTGGACCTAAACATGTCCTGAAGTCCAGTGGGCCTAAAAAAATTGAGAAACACAGATTTGGTAGACATTTAAAAAAAAAAAAAAAAAATCTCAAGTCAGTAATTCAAGAAGACTGAGCCCAGAGTAAAAGTCCATGAGATCTGTTTTATGAAGTTGCATGTAGGATTCCCTAATGCTTCTGAGGAAGCAACACAGCAAAAATATGGCATGAGGATTCTGAAAATGTATGAACAGAACACTTCACATCCACAACTAGCCCTGACACTCTGAAGAGTGTCAGACTAAAGGCCTAATTCAGTAAATGCTTGAATCAATGGAATGACTCTCACAACTTACAGTGAACTGCGAGCATGACATTTCTGACAGAGTTTAGAGCAACCCCAGCCTGTCGTTTTATGCATATAGTGTGAAATCTTGTGTTTCACCTTTAAGCTTTTGGCAGTGACAAAGCTGGTGGAAAAGAGCCACAGGAATGGAGTAAAAAAAAAAAAAAGAAAAAAAGGACCAGAACCAGAGTGGAAGACAAAAACTTGAGAAAAAACAAATAGGAAGACGAAACCTCCTTGGTCAAGAAAAACCAGTCACACCCTTGTCATTCCTGAGCATAACATTAGCAGTCTTTGTGTGTTTTGTGAGTTTAACAAAGCCTAGCATCAAGTGACCTGTCTCCTGGCATTATTTTCTTTATGAATGCATTCAAGAACTGTTCTTATTGTATTGCAGTACTGTAGCGCAGCAGTCACAGTAAAAATGGTCTTCTGAAATGAAATGAAACAGCCTGAATGGATGATAGGTGAAAATAAACATGGAGAAAATGGATAACTGAATGCATTGATAATATAGCATTTTTAATGTAGTGATCAAGTATCTAAACTGTATTTCTGCAAGTAGCCAAGCTACAAATTAAATTCCAGCAGTGAATGACTGCACTTAACACAGAGGGAGATGAATTACTGACCTTCCAAATGATACTCATTCAGTGTATTAATTCTGAACATAAAAATATCAGTTGAACAAAACAAAAAAATTAAGACGAGTCATTCTCAAAACAGTTTTTAGAAAAGATCTTATAGTCCATTAATCTTGGATAACAAAGGAGCAAAATAACAAGGCCCTAAAACAAAGAACTTTGTCCTGTATGTCTAGGGCCCAAATAGTGAAGAAATGGAACAAACTTAGTCAAACAGTTGTGAGATAGCCAGGAACTACTGTCTGTGCTTAGCCAGCAGGCAATCATACTGCAGGTTCTTCATTTTCAACCTAGCCGCAACACCCCTGATTTTGCAGAACATCCTGCAACCCTGCAGAACCTAGGAACGGAACAGAAAATCCAGCTATTCCCCCAAGAACATCATCTGCCTGGCAAAGGCAGCACAGTAATCTACAAAATACTGGCAGTTATGGTGAGAATGTCTCAGGAGGAGAACTCAGAGATAAGGCAGAGGAGTCTGAAAGCTTAACTATTGAAAATTGAATTAAAAATTAAACATAAAATGGGATTTGTTGCTTGTTTAGTTTTTTTACATTTTGTGCTATATACCTTCTACAGCTATTTAATTATTACTATAACATTCCTACTATTATCATCTCCATTGCAGCAGAAGAATTTAAAAACCGAAAAAACATACAATTTAATTTCTCAGGAAATATCTCCCTCTAGATTTATCCTTACTCTGCACATACATTTAAGGACCATAAACAAGACCAGCCTAAAACCCAGACATTTAATAAGATTACAAAATTGTATTGGTTAGGTTACTGAAGTGATATTTTATTTCTAAGAAACGCAAGATAACTCTGACAGCAAGATTTCTGAGCCTTCACAGTCCTGTGCTACTGAAGAGCAAATTTCCTCACAACTCTACAATAGCCAAAGACCAATTTGCATATCTGGGTAGTCACTTGTGAAGGTAGCCTCCTAAAAAAAAAAAAAAAAAAAAAAAAAAAGAAAGAAAAAAAACCTAAAAAAAAAAAAACAAAAAAAAACCAAAAAACCACACACCAAAAAAAATCCCCACCCAAAAAAGAGAGAGTTCCCTAGGCCACAGAGATACTGACGTAGATCCTGAACTCAAGAACTTACATAAACTGATGCTTTTTAATTATTTGGAAAAAAAAAAAGCATTATATGTTTAGATCTATTTTAATATGATTTCGTTATAAATTATATCTTATATCTTTATAATTTCATTATAAATTATATCTTTTCAATATAAATTTTATCTTTTTAACTTGGAAGCAGCATCAGAAGGGCCCATTCTTGCAGTCAGTCTGCCATTTGATTGATTACCTTAAATACTAAACCCGTAAATCCCACAGTGTATATATTCAGAGTAGCAATATCCAGTCACCATGGTTAGTTCAGCTATACAGGATCTTTAAAGGTTTGAGTTTTAACCTTGTTGATAAAACTCCTCTCAATATAGTTTTGCTTGCAACAGTCTTCCATTATAAGGTTGGTATCTGTTGTGATATTGCTATGATGGATCCACATTCTTCCCTCAAAACACTCTTCCCAGCTCCTTACAATTATTACCTAGACCCTCGCATGATAGCTCCTTAGACTATGAAAAGGCTGGATATTAAAATGGAGACTGAATCACTTAGAACTATGCATGTCCATACTGGACAAAATCTGGAATAGTTTCAGCCTGCAAAGAAGCAAAGTACAAGGAATCAGGACAAGCCAAGACATTTTAATTCTCATCACCAAAACTGAGGGAGTAAGTGTACAAATGGAGCACTCACTGTAAATGGAAGAAATACTCAAGAGCTACCCAGTCAGAAGTGCCTGACTAGAACAAGGTCTGCACCTGAAGCCTCACATTTTGGACCACTTCCAATTCACAAGGTATTTCACCTGAGCATTATCCTTCTGTCACAGCGCTGCTCTGGCAGCATGGGCTCTGCCCCTCACCACTGGCTCCCAATGACAGAGGACCAAAGGCAGCCCCACAGAACATGAACAGGTAAGGGGTGTTTCTCTGCAGGCTCCAACGTCGCACAAGGCTGGAGTTCCTTGATGACTACTGTGAATTCTGTTATGTGGGAGTATCTTTTAAAAAGCGTGTCAGCCCTTTCCACACACTTCAGAAATTGTTGAGAGGGGTTCAAGATGGCTTAATGGGAAGCTTCGAGACTCCTAAAGTCGCCTCAGAGACCCGCAGATTTGCTGCTACCCATGCCACAGCCACTGTGAAGCTGGCCTATTCCTCTGCACTCTGCAAGGTAACTACCCTTCTCATGCCTCCTTACCTCTGAGCGACCGAAGTCCCGAGTCTGCTGACCGCCTGGCAACGGCTCAGAGTAAGAATCAAACAGCGCGCAGTCACGCATGGGCTTCAAAGAAGCTGCACGAGAAGGAAAAAAAGGGGGGGGATGTGTCAAGTCTTTGGTTAATACACACTTCTTAAGAATGTATTCCAGCATCATTTGCCCTTTCATTTCTACGTATCACTACTGATCTGTACACCACAGATGACAAACACCATGAAGAAAATCTGTCTGTCTTGTATTTTGAGTAAATCAATGTCATGAAAGGGTCAGCATGTATTTCTGTTGCAGACATAATTGTGAAACCTGGGAGAAGTGACTCTTAGTAAACACTAACCGCTAAACAACAAATATCTATTTTCATTTTTCCTCTTCACAATCCAGTATCAAGTTATTCGGCCTCATAGTTTATACTTTGCTGTCCGAGGAATGTTGAAGGTACTCACCAAACCTTCTACTCCAATTTTTTGACATTCTGAATACTGAGAAGTATAACAGAATCTACATTATACGCTAAAATTGAAGCAAAAAGCAAAGACACCAAACACTAGATGCTGCAGTATACAGCATCTTTAACTGAACAAAACTGAGAAGGGTGGGGGGGAAAGGGTGTGGGAAATCAACTCTTAACTTCTCATGGAAATATTAACAAGAACCTCATTTCTATTGCACTAGCTGGAAGGGACCTTAAAGATCATCTTAGTTCCAACACCCCTGCCATGGACAGGGACACCTTCCACTAGACCACATTTCTCAAAGCCCCGTCCAGCCTAGCCTTGAACACTGCCAGGGATGGGGCAGCCACAGCTTCTCTGGGCAACCTGTTCCAGTGTCTAACCACCCTCACAGTGAAGAATGCCTTCCTAATATCTAGTCTAAATCTACTCTCTTGTAGTTAAAGCCATTCCCCCTTATCCTACCTCTACAGGCCCTTATGAAAAGTCCCTCACCAGCTTTATTGTAGGCCCCCTTTAGGTAGTGGAAGGCTACTCTAAGGTCTCCCCTGAACCTTCTCCGGGCTGAACAGCCCCAACTATCTCAGCCTGCCCTCACAGCAGAGGTGCTCCAGCCCTCTGGTCATCTTTGTGGCCTCCTCTGGACTCGCTCCAACAGCTCCATGTCCCTCTTGTGTTGGGGACCCCAGAGCTGGACACAATACTGCAGGTGGGGTCTCATGAAAGCAGAAAGCGGGGGAGAATCGCCTCCCTCAACCCGCTGGTCACACTCATTTTTTGATGCAGCTCAGCATATGCTTGGCTTTCCAAGCTGCTAATGCACATTGCCAGGTCATGTTGAGCTCCTCAGCATGAAATATACTGAAAGGCAGAATAATCAGTTTGCACATCAAATTTCTAGTTTCTGGCTAGCATCTGATTTTCCTGATTAAGCTCTTGCAAATCTTTCTTAATTTACAATACAGTGGGTTACACACAGGGCAAATAGCCTTACAGATGCTCTAAATTAGTTTTAAATAAAAACTTTCAGAAAAGGAGGTGGTGAGTTGAATTTTTAATGGAGCTGTGCCAGGACAGCACTGGAACCTCTGCTTGTAGTTTACAGAACAAGCCATAAAAATAGCAAGATTAAATCATTCTTAAATGCTCTGTCTTACGCTCCAAGACACTTTATTTGAAGCCTTAGTACTCTTATCAGATGCAAATATTTCACTTGAACCAAATTCTGCCTCATCCTGAAACTTATACAATAACCTAATGAAAAACAGTTTCCAGTAATCCTCATCAGGGTTATTATGAAAACATGAAAAGAGTTTCTTGACATTTTAGGATTTTAGGCAGGTGTATGAGGCACTTGCTCACTTATCAGTGCTTTAATTTCAGAAGTTGATACAACCAGGGCTCTATGCTATTCATGGTGTTAGTGTATTGAGATGTTGTGCTTTTTATTAATGCAAGTCTTTCAAAAGACAGAGTTCTGAATCCTGACTACGTAGAAGAACAAGCACGAGACATTTTCAGATCCTCAAGCTAACTAGAATTAGCATATTAGCTGAGGAATTCAGAGTGTCCACAACTAACAACCAGTCATTTCACCTCTTCCACATATATCAGCTTGAAATGCTTGGTTGTGTACAACACCATGAAACAATCATTAAGAAAATGGTAAAGACACCAGTGCTGAAAGGGAGAAATTAGGGAAAAGGAGGTCTCCCCCAGGCAACAACCACAGCTTACCATGCTTTTCCTCTCATTGACACTATGATTCCCTACAACTAGAGATAGTTATTTCCATTGGAGTTTTACCCAAAAAGGCTTGATGTGAAGACACACCAACAAGAACCCCCTTACAAGCTCATTTATCATGAGGTGTGAGAGTAGCGAATGAAGCGGTGGTCCTGGAGGGAAAAGGGTAGCTGTAATTATGAAAAGGGAATGTAATTAGAGAGACTAAAAGAGATGAAGACTTGGAAATGCAGGTTTTACAGCACCTTCTCACTTTGGATATGAAGATCGTGAATTATAAGGAACATGACTCCATCAGAAATTACTGCACAAATCTGATACAGGGTGAACATTTAATTTTCCTAACTGCAGCTTGATTTGCTCTTTTCCTGTCTTTTAATATATTCAGTGTCATCAAATTCAATGGAGATTTTATTAGGTCTTAAATATTATCCCTTAGCACTGTAATTATCATCTGTGATTAATCCTCCTTGCCCTAGAAAGTCATGCACATTTTTTAGATGGAACAGTACATATTTCAGTGTTCATTTATAATTAAAAGAGACATAACTGAAGAGAACAAATGAAGGGGCAAGTCTCTCACTGCACATTCTTATTGAGCTATGTTATATTTTGGATTAATTCATCCCTGAGCTACATGAATTGTTGTAATCCTCCCATCATTACTGTAAATTACTTACAGAAGAATCTGTGGATTACACAAAATAAATTAAAAAAAAAAAAAAAGTCAACCTTTGATATAACCAGTAACTGCATCTAACAAAATATATTGGCATACTACGTTCTAAAGCAGCCCAGACTCATTTTCAACACATCTTCAAGAGATAGATACTTAATCGGAAGAGTCAAAAGCCATACTGGCTTTTTATGGATTATCTTTGCTACAGGTACCATCTGCCATTTTAGCTATAATGACACCTGAAGCACACTGGAGGAAAGAGGCAGACATAAAGAAGCAGGTAACTGCTACATTTTGCATTGCTATTTTTTGCTTTTATACATTCCTTTTACAGCAGCATTAAAAACACAAGCATTAAAAAGCATCTGGAGAGCCATCCTACCTGCAGGATGAAAAATGAAACCTGTCTTACAGGCATGTTGGGTTCCTAAGATGGCAACAGGAACATGACCTGCTGCAGAGACGTTACCTGCTTGGAGGTACTCGGGCAGCAGTGTTTCCGGCAGTGTCTCAGGCAGCTGGTAACCATTCTTCCTTGCAACCACAAGGTGGAAAGCGGCACAAAACTCAGGGAGTGTCAGCGCCCCATCACAATCCACATCGCTCAGCTCCCTGCGGATACAACAGACACGTTTTCCAAGCCATTATCTCAGGGAAACATACGTGTGCGATCACATGGGAGACAAAAATGCAACTTCGAGAAGGAATATTTTAATACAAGACAAACATCTCCGCCATTTGCACTTGATTCTAACTTTGTCTCATGAAGATGAAGCAAGCTGATTTATTGGGGCCTTTCAGTTCTTAAAAGAAGCCTCTAAGAAAGATGGGGAGAGACTTTTCAGCAAGGCCTGTTGTGATAGGACAAGGGGTAATGGTTTTAAACTAAAAGAGGGGAGATTCAGGCTGGATGCGAGGAAAACATTCTTTACAACGAGGGAGGTAAAACACTGGCACAGGTTGCCCAGAAAGACTGTGGCTGCACTATTCCTGGCAGTGTTCAAAGCCAGGCTGGATGTGGTTCTGAGCAACCTGATCTAGTTGAAGATGTCCGTGCTCATTGAAGGGAGGTTGGACTAGATGAGGTTTGAAGGTTCCTTCTACGCCAAACCATTCTATGTTTCAGTAATGACTTGCCACATTTTGCTTTTTTAATTAAATTTTTTGTTATGTATCATACCATACAATATGATGGTACGAATGTATTAAAACATGAATCTTGTACTTCCAAGGGTGAAATTAACTTTCCAAAAGGTTGGAAGCACTTTTGGCCAATCCATGAAGGATCCTAAGCCATTTCAAGCAGAGAAGGTTAAAAGCAGACTTCAGCAATGATTAGTTAGCACTATTGACTAGCCTCAAGAAAAGAGTTAAATTAATGATCTTTACAAGTCTAGATGTTATTGTTCACTTCTCACTAAAACAGTTCTAATTCTAAGATTCTTCTTAAACACTAAAACCACTCCTCATAAACTCAAGAATTCAATTTTATAAATTAACTATTTGCAAGAACTGAGTAATATTTTATCGTGAGCACATGGTGAACTAAAGCAAACAAACATGTAACTTCCTACTCTTTGAAAGTAATGAGATTTTTTCCAAGCTGTTGAGGTTATAGTGATGAAGACTGAAACCTCCTATGTGTTTAACACAGCAACATGACCTGATAAATCACATCATCACAAAATTATAATTATCTACTAGAAAGGAATACTTTGCTTTAAATTTTGCATGGAGAAAAACTTCTGTCAGCAGTAAAAAGAAAAAGTGTTTTGTTAATACATCGGGTTAATCCATTCTTCTTAAGTATTCTTAAATATAAATGCCAATATTCACTTCCCCCACTACTATGTTTCTTCAGTTGTTTGGTTTTTGATTTTTTTTTTATTTTCACAACTGAGAATCCACTTTGAAAAGATTCCAGACATTCGTTGACCCCAACAGATGTTTAGGCTCTTGCAAGCTTTTCTTCTTATCTCTCTTATAAAAGCATATATGAATTCTATCACCATTTCTGATCAATGTTTAAAACTGTTCTTCCTATCTGAGATGCAAGGATGACACTGAATTACAAAGCACCATGTTGTTTATTGTCAAATTTTATCATGTACAGTTCCATCTGCAATCATTTCTAAATAAGCTCATTAAAAGTGTACTGGTTCATTAGAAAAGCACTGATGAATTATGTAGCTGTACTTACTAAAAATTAGGCATTAATTAGGCCTCCTCTGACAAAACACAGCCAGAAACATAAAACCAACAACACATCTATAACATTCCAGAGGTGCTTCTCCTCTGTGTCTTCTAATGAAAAATGTCACTTCATGGAGCTAATGATGCTGCTTAAGAACAGCTTTCAGTTATATCTCTCTTCAAACCCTCCCAGTCCTGCTGAGCAGGTGAACATCTCCCTGGAAAACAAACGTGTCAGGAAGATCAATGAGCACCCTGCTGCTTGGGCCTGAAAGTGATTCTGGAGATAAGAGCAATAATTATAATTGAAGACACTTTTCAGAATTTAACAAGAACTCCTGAATTAAGCATCTTTAAAAAAAACCCAAAAAACAAAAAAACAAAAAAAAAAAAACCCCAAAAAAAACCAACCCCCCCCCCAAAAAAAAAAAAAAAAAAAGAGGATACATATCCCCAACACTTATTACAGTACTTACCAGATGTGAGAAAGCTCTGGGATGGGCAGCTTTGATTTTGTGAAGAAATTCTTTGCCACAGAACCTGTTGGGAAACCATGCCTTATCAACCATTGGAAATTAGTTCTCCAATTATTTACCTTTGACCAGAGCTACCATGCCAGAAGCAGCTGATTACATCCCAGAGACGCTCAGATTAACTGAACGCTACTATAGCTGTTGGACCATTTGTCTCTTGTTGAGTAAGTGACAGAGAAAGCCAGACAGAGCTGTTGACCTCATTTCCCCACTCCCTCCATATGGGAAAAATTAAAGGAAGGAAAACACGCTTTAGTACTAGCGATTCTAACCAGAATAATTAGTATGTCACTAATGATGAAATAACAGACTTGAACAGCTCTACTTCACCCAGAGCCATGTGTGTGGCAGTACAGTGCTGTAGCATCTATACTGCTCTCCCAAGAAGCTGCTTCAACCTTGACTTTTCCCTTCAGGCTCAGATTTTTGGGGGAACAGGAACCAGAAGACTCCGCTAGCACACAGCTACTGTCCTGCTGCAGGCATTCTCATTCATCCTGCCACAACAGTCCTTCTCATTCTTCTCCTAGCTAACACTTCTGCTTTTTCACCATCCCATATGAATAGGCTATCAGGGTTATCTGGAATCCCTAACTGGATACAGGCTCTTACAGAACATAAGGCAACATGAAGCACAGACTTCCAGATCTATACTCCTTTTCCCCTTGGGCATTCAGGTCAGATCACTCACTGCAGTACATAAGAAAAGCTGTCACAGAGACAGGTCCAAGATTCACCTAGCACAGCATGTCCTCTCCAACGTCAGATGCCAAGAGAGGAGTATGTGACTATGAAGAAGCCATGTAATAATAATGTACCTCCAGAATATCCCCGACCCTCCAACCACATGCAATTCAGGAACTTTCTCAACCAGGGGTAGAACTTAAATATTCAATAACTTATGACAGATCTCTTCAATCACAGATTTTGCAAATAACTTCCTGAACCTGGACAAACCTCTGGTGTCCATATCACGCTGTAGCAAGGATTTCTACAGCTTCATTATTTTAGGATGCTGTGGAAGCTCAAATTTACCATTTATCAACAGTAATTTTGGATGGGCAAGGACTGCCTGAGCACCTTGCTCAACATAAAGGAAAATGCACAACTACCTGAGAGGCTGTATATGCATATATAGATGCATACACAGTTACAGACATATAGTAAGTCTCTGAGGAAATACAATGTTGTTGGACAATCATTTTCTCTTTCAAGTAAATTATATGAAGGAGTCTTAACTGAGGCAAAGAACTGGTGAAGCACTAATTTCTGTCAGCAGCAGGTTATTTAAATTTTCAGCTGGATCCGAGCCTCCTGAACCCTAGTAATACAGCAGGGCTCAGTAAAAACGCCTCAGTTTACAAACTCTGACATCTTCCTTGCCAAACTACGGCATGAAAAGTACTGCCTGCACCCATAATGACTCTCATGAGCACCCTGATCCTCCTATTGAGGATGGAAAGGTAATCTCATGCTGTTAACAATACTTTTAGCATGTGTGTGCTATCCAAGGTTTGCTTCTAATCATCTAAAGATCAAAATCTCAGTCCGCAGAGCCATAAACACTCAGGCTTGGCCACACAGGACAGTTAACTGCATGCTCTGCTTTCATCACATGGACACACAGCCACATTTCTGCTGGGAAACCAAGCACAACCCTATGGGTTTTTCAGCTCAATATACACTGTGATCCACAAATACAGTGGATGAAATACAGAGAGCTCACTTTAATTTTTGCTAAATTGCCAATGCTTCTCCTTTGGATACGCAAATTATTTAATTATTTTTTCTAAAATGAGGATATTTAAGAAAAAACATAATAGCCACAGTACTGGTTCGCTCTTTTAGTTGTCTGCCACAACCAACTTTTTCTCATAAACTCACTCCAGACAGGAAAAAAGAATTAATTTATCTACTTAACACTTCTCACTTCTCAGCCAGGTCCCTCTGTTTGACATGCATGGTGTTTGGTAGCAATTACCTGAAACAAAGGAGTTCAGGTCAGGCTGTAGGGACCTGAACTGGTTGATATAGTAGTCTCGCTGCTCCTCTGTTATCCTCCAAGGGTCATCTGAGTAGTGGGTGCTGCTGTCCTGCTGCTCCCGCTCTGCTGAAAGAGACTGAAGGGAGAGACACTGGTACCAGCCACCAGTGGGGGGGCAGAAGGGCAGTGGAAACCTCAAAAAAACACACTCACTCTCTTCTGTTAGGGAGTGATTTACATTTAAAATATGTATTTTAAAAAGATGAGAAGCAAAACAGACACACAGATTACTGTCTCACTACTTAGCCATTAAAGCTGAGGCTAATGTTAGGTATCTTTACCCGGACAATTAAAGGAAGTTTTACATGACCAAAGCTAAAAGAAAAAAGAAATCTTACGACCGCTGATTGCAAAAAAACCAAAGTCCATGACAAAGTTTATTACCTTTGGATTCATTTTAGGGGTTCATTTTGGCTGCCATGCATTACAACCCTGAACTGCACACTATACACCCGAAATGGATGGAAACAGTAAAGGACCTAAAGCTATATCTATGCAGCACAGTGCATGAAAACTTAGCTTTGCTAAGAAAGTATGTATTTAGTTATTATGGAGCTACACTGCCTCTGGACCCTCTGGGTGCCCAAGCAGAAATGACACCAAGCCAGGGAGACATGCAAAACTCTTGAGACCTCCTCAACCCTCTGTCACTTCCCATAGTTTAGGTAAAAATCCTACTTCAGGAAGAAGAATACTCTGGAGGAAAAGGATATTTTATCCATTTACGTCTTTTTTTTCTGATTGACTTGTCTAAGGGAGGTCTCTATGTTTGGTAGGTTGAGTGGTGGTGTCTAGAAGAGGGCTGCTGGTACAGTTACTACCTTTGTTAAACTGGAATGACTTAATATTCAAGATTTAGGCCTGGATGACAATGCTTTTAAAGAGGAAGGGCAAGAATGAACAATAGCTGGACTCCAGCCAGCTCCGAAACTCTTTCTCTGACATACCTGTCCATTTCCTAAAAATCAAACGCAAAACACCGGTTCTGAAATACATCAAAAGATCCCTGAAACAGGCAACATCATAAAGCTTTAAACTAATTTTCATTTCAAAGTGCTACACAAATGCACTCACTTTCCTTTCAAGTTAGCACGAATTATGCAACACTACCTGCATATCTTTTCCTGAGGCTCAGGTGACATTTTAGTATGGGTGTCGGGTGCTAAGCACATGGGAAAAGGTACAGTCTCTCTGAGTCTTACTTATTTAAGAAAAGCTAATCCTTAGGGTACACTACCTGTTTGCATAATAAATGTAAGCAGGTATGTGGGAACATTGGACAGATCTGCTCTTGCAACCAGCAGGAAAACATAAGACCCACCTCATAAACTGAAACAAATGGGCAGAAATGCATTTATTCTATTTGCAAAGTGATTTAACCAACAATACACAGAATATTAGGCCATAAATTCTGCACACGTGTTACAGACAACATTCTAAATCAAGCAGGAATCTCTGTGAAGCCTCATAGGTTTTAAATGAAAATTTTTACTTCTGCTAGGATAGCCTCAATTATTTATTATTTTTACTTTTTAACTGCAGCTTCTCAGTATAGTTTTCCTACCTATGCTATTTGATACTACTTCTACTTAGCTTCAGCAATTGAATTAATTGGATTATCTATTTTAATTCCTCCTTCCCATCAGCTTTTTATTTTCTTTTTCATAGAGTAAAAAAGCAGGTTTCAGCTTCTACTTTAAAAACACCATGGAGAACACTTTTTACTTTTGATATGAGAATTTTTCTGCCCATTTTTTCCTTTCTCTATTGTTTTATTAGTAGTACTACTAAAGAAAAACATGCAACTCATTACCCGATTTGGAGCTGAGCAGGTGAGTGCAGGTTTGGCTCCATAATTCCCTGATGATGTTCCATCTTGCTGGTGAGTAGAGTGTCTGACTTCATAAGGAGCTACAGACATTTAAAAATGAAATATATAAATAAAATAAAAATTAAAGGATAATCAAAAAGATTCTACTAAGGTAAAGGAAATCATTAAATACCACAAGGTCAAGAATCTACCTTGTGAACCTAGTATCAAAATCCATTTTGTCTTCTGCAACAATATTCCGGCCACATACTTGTCTTTCATGTTACACCATTCTTCAGACATTACTGATAGAAACTGCCAGTTATATATTGCTAGACAACAAAAATCATTGTTCATCATGCTGAAATATAAATTTTTATAGCCTGTTTATATATTTATACATTTCATATACTTATAGCCATATATAGCACAAGAATGCATTACAAGTAAGAAGAAATAAGTCAACGGAGCTGCAAAAAATATGCTTTGACAATGTTACAAATTAGTAAATCACTAATTTTTTAAATACTCTTCTTTCTCCCTTCCCTAATTTCTGTTGAAAATCAAAATACATTTTGCATTATTTGGAGTAAAGTTAGCAAATAAAAGTAACAATTACTCCTTCTTTTGCTAAAATAAATCACTTACATTCAACTGCAGCAAATATGTAAGGGGTAGCATAACAACACATTTAGGAACAATGTTTTAAAAATAGGTCAAGTATGCAAACAAAAAGGCAACCCACCCACAAACCCTTACAGATCCCAGAACTTCTGCTTCCAGCCTATTTAAAACTTACAGGCAGAACTTAGAAGACCCTTAACGTAAAGCGAGACCAAGAAATCTTAAAAAAGGTTCAGACCTTAAAAATTATACCCCCTTGTTTTTCTAAGTGTTCTTATCCTGTGTTGGCATCTATTTTTATTCCTGTACAAGCAACTTCTAATTTCAGAAAAAAAAATACGGGAAGGAAGTTGTGAAACATACAGATGCCCTTGGAGAGATTTAAACACAAGGCCACGCTGCTCTGTGTTTGCTAGCAAGAAAAGCATCCAAAACTATCAAGAAAAAAAGTATAGTCACAGTCACAGTGTAAAGGCTTGCCCTTGAAGACACACCACCCCGTTTCATGGTCAGAGCTGCAGTGCAGACCAGCTGACCTGTGTCAGTGCTGTGGCACCAGCACCTCCTGTGCATACACTAACACGGTGGCTTCCAGAACTGTCCTTTCAAGCGCTCTTCAGAAAACTGGAAGGGTCCTAATCTTAAAGTCCAGGAAGAACCAGTAGGTCACCTAGCCTGGAACTTGGCACAGCATGGGTCTTAAAATGTGACCCACTTACTGCCACTGAGAATACATTTGGCTGAACTATCCCCAGTGGGATTAAAACAGGAGAGATTCCTTTGCTGGAATATAGGAGAAATTCTCTTTCTGGAAAATAACCATAGTGTTCTATACCTGTAGGATTTTATCACCTTAAAAATTCAAGCTGTTTAATAGTTAATTTTAGATGAAATTGACAGCTGGATTGGATGATGCTGCCTCTACTTGTTTTGCACAGCCACTGACCCCATGAGATATATTTGCAATCAAATTCAGGGCGGAGGGGACCAAACAAAAAAAACCCCAACATCCAAAATACCCCCATAGTACTGACCAGTCTGGGACAGGGTCCCAGAAAAGAGCAGAGGTGGCACAATCAGCTGCTCCTGATGGCCACCTCCTGCTCAGCTCTTCAGGGTGTGGGCTATCTGCTACATGTCTTCTTCACTGGAGCAGAAATTAGTTGTACCAGAAGACCACCTCATTAGTATTGCTTATTTCAGAAGTCAACCATCACTGTTTTGATCAGTTATGCCAAAGGTGGGGTGAGGAAAAATCCCATCACTGAACAAACAGAGTTTACCCAATCAGCAAATGAATGCCTGTGACTCAGTACTGGTATGATTTTCACATGAAGGCAACCTGATAGTGTCGAATGCTGTCTTGTGGCTGTACTGAGTTTCAAAATGAAATAGCTCTGTATTTTCACTCATTTGTAAACAAGGACAACAGCTAAAAGGACTAGCACCACATTCTACTCTTCACTCACTGCAAACACACCAACTGAAAGCAGGAGGAATGAGGGAAGGATGACAGACACAAATGCCTACTATTGCCAGCATCTTGGTCACCAGATGTTGCAATTAGGAGAGCACAAGAACCTTACTAAGGCTTTAGAAGTTCCTGTTACTAATACAACTGGCTTCTGCCCACTACCTTCTTACTAAAATCAGAATGTTTTGCCACCTACTCTAACGGTAGTGAGATCAAGGACAGAATCTTTTTTTTGACATATTTTTGACTGTTTTGCCTAAGTTATATTGTGGGACTGTTTTTATATTCATGTTTTACTGTTATTTCTGTTATAAAACCAAAGAGACCACAGAGATTATTATCCTTTCCTGCAAAGGAAGGTTCTCTGCCAATCTGAAAACTAATACAGTGGCTACTGAAATCAGATTTTCTTCCCCTCTAATAAATCCAAAGGCACCATGCACTCTGAAAATACTCGCAAGCACCCTGTCACTGTGATACATTGCACAGTCTTGTCATAGATTAGATACTCTCATCTGTGAGCTGCGACATATAAATCTAACTTACTTACCAGAATAGGAAGACAGGATTGAACAATCAAAATAAAGTTGATTAAATAATTTTTCAAAATACAGGTCTAGTTAAATTTTTAAATCATTATGCTGATTGTCAGTTGCATTTGAAATTTGATGCTTCCGAGAAAGGAAAAAAAAATGAATTTAAAACAATGTATGCATCCCAATTTTTATCCTACCTCCATGCTGCTGTTCCAGACCACTTCTTGATTTACCATATCCGTAACTTAGGGGTATTCTCTGGTAAGTAGATGGAGAAGCAGGAGGTGAACAGATTGGAGACATTGGAGGAGATTTAGGTTCCTATTTTAAAAACACACCAACACAAAAAGCAATTCTGAGACCCAAAAAAGCACCAAGTAATCCTGCACAGTTATCCAAATACATACAGTATGACAGACAAAGAGGCCGCAAATACTGCAGCTCCTGTATTTCCAAGAAAAATCTCCTGAGAAAGCAAAAGACAGATTTTGGTATTGAGCCTTCTAGAGGTAAAGCATGGCAATGCCATAGCAAAGCTTTGCAATGAGCAGCTTAAGACATTTTGCTTCCAAAGATGCCTGAAGAAGTACACGTAGAAGGCTTAATGTGAGTGGGTATCTTTGAACTTACATAACACAGTGTGAGTGCATTCTTTGTGGGAGAGCATTTTTCACATAAAAACTTATTAAAAATTAAAATAAATCTCTTGAATCAGTATTTTAAGCACTCTGTAGATTTGTAGGTGTTACTGGGTAACTATCCTAAAGCTTTCTTTTTCCCTTGACATACAGGGATTGTTTCAGAGGAGGATGTGATCCTGAAACAGTTTACTGAATAAGGGAAATACAGAACAACAAAGATAACTGAGATGAAGCCAGGGCCTGAAGGCAGCGTTCCACTTCAGTGTCAGTACACACAGGCAGATAAACATACATGCTCCTCTTCCTCATCCTGTTATTCTCACCATCTTGTCATCAGCTCATTCCTGTTGGTTGACCTCAGGCTGGGAAAGCTGTTACTCACACTGACACACTGTGTGACAGATATGTGTGCACTGCAGGAAGATAAAGTGCCTGCCACCAGACACTTACAACATGACCTGATACAGTACCAGAGAAGAAGGTGTCAGGCCTGGGGAAAATTATGCAAAACAAGGTTGCACTGTGAAGCTGCGTGTATCTGAGTAAGTGCTCTCAACTCTACTAAGTACAGGTAATAAAAATCTCCCTCATTTTAGCTTTATTAAATTGGCTACTCAGAACAAAGAATGCTGGGACAGTGTTTCACTGAGGACAAAAGAAAAGCAGATTTACTCTGGACCACTCCTGGGGGAGGGTAGAATGGAAGAAAACCTGGTGGTCTTATCCCACCCAGAAATAGTGGCTCGTGATTCAACAGCTCTTCTCCAGCTAAATATTTCTCTAGTGACTAAGTATTATACTGGCCCTGAGAAACTGCTTGCTTTCCTTCTTTCTCACAGACAGGTTTCTATTTGCTGCTCCTCCCTTAGGCCTCTCCAAGAAACAGTGCTAGACTAGGTAGGAGAATAATGCTGAAAGAACTTACATAGAATATTACAGTGCTGACACTTTATACAAGCTCATATAGAGAAACTCCCTTCAGGGATGCAACTGGGATGCATCAAAATCACAGCACAGCCCAATGGGGATTATTTGCATGTCAGGAGTTCATCTCCTGTCTAGTACTGCAAAACTGAGAAAGCCCACGTAAGTGTAATCATTTACAGGATTGGACCCAGAAGGAGAATGCGTAATAACATATTGGCCTGAAGGAGACAAGCCTGTTACCTGTTTGTCCCCTTCATCTGTTCTTTTGTAGGAATTTTTTTCCAAAGTTGCATGTGGAACCTGAAATTTAACTCCATGGAGTTCTGCTGGAGTCCCATAACGTGCTTCACTGTCATTTTTCAGCGCCATAAACCGTGGCAGGGGCAATTCTTCATTAAAAGAGAGAAAAATTCAGCTGAGACTACAGCACATTAAAAGTACTTTAAGCAGTATCGTCTTGTAAAACCAATGAAAAGTTTATCTATAAAAGACTACTATTTATATTTTGTAACACTTGTAAGTGTGGAACTCCTGTGATTATTTTGTATCTTAATAAAAATGTGAATGTTACACAAAGCTACGTTCACTAGCTTAATATATAATCTCTCCATGCAAAGAGAAAGAAATAAGCCTTGTGCACATTATTAAAGCAAGTGGCAAACTCATTTCCTGCCTTCAAAACGTTGTCTGTAATGAAAAGAATGGTTTCCCACAGAAACTGTAGGACTGATGAATTAATCAGTCAGGATCACAGTATCCTCAACACTGCCATCATAAAAGGAACAAATTCAAAATGGTAGGGTTCAGAGATCATGCCAAGGCCTAGTGAAACGACCGTGTCAAAAAGTCCCATGTCGCATCTGCTCTGCAGAGCAGCAGGGTGACACTTTGTCACCCTTTAAGACAATTCATGATTAATTTGAAGAAACACCATTTATTTTTGTGCACAGTCAGCCTGAAAGATCAGTACAATTAAAATCAACAGAATGCTCAAAACCCAGCAAAGCTATACATTACTTCTGTAATTATTTACACCTACAGCTACTACCAGGAAGAAAAAGAACTCAATTTGGGTTGGTACATGTAACTCACCCCACTCTAAAGGCACTCATATATTTCAAGAGAAAATAAAATTAGCACTGGAAGCATTTCAGTAACAGTAAGCAAGCAGGATATCAATGCAAAGACTGCAAGTACCCTTCTTCACTCAAGTATGTGGATTATTTGCACTCCCCACTTGGAGTACTGCGTATAGTTCTCATGTCCTCAACATAAAAAGTTCTCATGTCCTTCCATATGAAGACAGGCTGAGAAAGTTGGGGCTGTTCAGCCTGGAAAAGAGAAGGCTGTGTGGAGACTTCATAACAGCCTTCCAGTATCTGAAGGGGGCCTACAAGGGTGCTGGGGAAGGACTCTTCCTTAGGGACTGTAGTGGTAGGACAAGGGGTAATGGGTTCAAACTTAAACAGGGGAAGTTTAGGTTAGATGTAAGGAAGAAGTTGTTTACTGTGAAGGTGATGAGGCACTGGAACAGGTTGCCCAAAGAAGTAGTAAATGCTCCATCCCTGGCAGTGTTCAAGGCCAGGCTGGACAGAGCTTTGGGCGACATGGTTTAGTGTGAAGTGTCCCTGCCCATGTCAGGGGGGTTGGAACTAGATGATCTTACGGTCCTTTCCAACCCAAACCATTCTATGATCCTATGCTATGTGTGTAAAACACAGTAAATCTCACTTAGTTCAGGTTTCTACATTAGTTTTTTTCTGGTTTTTAGAGATGGGTTTTGGGGACTTTTTTCGGGGGTTGTTCAACTTACCATCTTTAACAAGGACACCAATGCAAGAGAGAGCACACAAACTGTCTGTAAGGAAAACTGATGGACAAATCCAGGCCACCCTGCTTCACCCCTGGTTTAAACTCCCCTTCTAGCCAGGCACTGAGCCATGCCACCTGCATCCGATCCCTCCCACTTGGTTGGGAGCCCTGCACCATAGGAGCTCAGCTCACACAGGTCTGCACATGCTTGCCAGCCTGGATTCCCCCTCAGATGCAGGCAGACCAGGGAATCCCCTCACTGTGCCTTGTAACATAGGTGGATTTTACATTTCATTGCCCTTAACAGGGACAGCAGACCAGAAACTGTGCTGCGAATAGTGACCCAATTGAAAAGCTATGGCTACGTCCTGCCTTTCCTACCTCCCTCTGGTCTCATGGCTGGTTGCATCACTGCCTTCAGCTGGATGGTGGCAAGCACTCTTGCCCAGGGCACGGCCTCATGGCATGGTTCAAACATCTGCCTGGGATATGGGAGCTAAGGATTCAAACCTGTACAGGCTCAAGCCCAAGTCAAAAGCCATGCGTTTTGAAGCCTGAGCCCTGCTGAGGCAGGGCATGCATTAGCAAGGTAAAAACAGAGTTCCTGCAGTTTAGCTGCTATCAAGGTTCTGCAGCTAAAAGGGACTTGCTTTCTCTCTTCATCGCTTGAGTTTGAGACTTATTTTTCTCCACCAAAAGTAGTACATTTAATATTACTGTCAAGTCACTGGGAAGAACAAAATTGTTTTAAATTACATCTAATACACATTTTCATACCTCCTGATAGGAAACATTAGGATTTTGTCACCATTACCTATTTATTTAAGCAGGATTATTTGCTAAAGCATGATGAGTGTTGCAAGCTGCCCTGCACAGGGCGGACCCCTGACCTGCCCACATCCACCACAAGCCTCCACTTGACTCAGCAATCAGCTCCCACTCTAGACAGCTGTCAAGACCAGGGGCTGAAGGTGAGAGAGAAATGCACCTCCAGCACTGATCAGCTGTCATTCATTCCATTCCTTTGGTAATGCTTTTTCCAGAAGGGGATGTCATCTCAGCTTTGCCACACATACGATTCACTGCAATTTTCTACCTATCACTTACAGAATATAACATTACCTTCTACTTTTTCTCTGCTCCTCGAAATACAGTTTTTTTCACAGATATGTTAGAAGAAAAAGTTTACCACCATGGGGAGCTATCAAGCATTAACGAAAGTAAGAAACAAGCACAGAGCGCTGCAAGCAAAATTTGCTACTCACCATTCTTAATGCTCTCAATCCGTACTGGGAACCCTGACTGAGCTGCTGCAATTAACTTCAAAGCAATATAAAATTGAGCAGGACCAAAATAACCCACACGCTTGGCTCCACAAAGCTCCGTAATCTAAGAGAGAAGAGACACACTGTTAGTTAAACGCGTTTCACTCTTCCAGAGAATGTAAACACCTCTACATAAACAAAGAAAAAAATTCTTTAAACAATGAAAAATGCTTGTTGTATTTAAAAGATTTCTATTAAACATAAATGTTTCAACTCTGGACATTGCTGTTTGATCACACCACCCTTAGTATAGGCCAGGTAGGTAGTGGTCAAGCTTTTCAGAAGCCCTGCTGGGTAACACTGCTATTGTAAAACAACTTACAGGTTTTCATACTACATGATTTTAATAGCAAGTAAAATGATAACTTGTTAAGTATGCTGTCCAGTAGAACACTTCCATTGCGCAAGGTATAGTATTCACAGAAAACTGTATTTAATAATAGCCCTTATAATGACAGTTCAGACAATTACTGTAACTGGAACATAAACACCACACAAGAAATACCTCATCGCACTGCTTGAGCAGAACAACATTTTTCTTTATGAAAATTAACATGGTCTCAGCACTGAAACTTAATTTATATATATACACTTCACTCGGCCACCTCTATGAAGCAAACAGCTCCACATTCCCACGCTCAGACAACAGCTAAACAAACAACAGCTATCAGCAGGTTTTAAGCATAGGCACGAATTCTCCCGTCCCTGGAGCTCCCAGATGTTCACAAACAAACCTCAGATGGGCACTGAGGTTAGAATGAAATCCCATTCTCCCCAGATGTAAAGGGAAGCCCCAGATTGTATTCCTGAAATACACCTAGATTAGCAACATCTCCTGGTTGGTGAGGTGCTTTGCCCGCATGCGGAAGGACAGCAGAGCTGTGCCAGTCCTTCATGCTCTCCGGAAAACCATGTCCCAAGCTCCCAAGCTACAACAACATGACAGAAACTATTCCATGTCATGTGTATAAACAAGTAGCACAAATGAACAATCTTTTTTTTAAATTTATTTCTCTATGTATACATACAGACCCATACAGTGGCAAAATGTCACATGAAACAACTACTAAAAAAGAAAAAATAGTTTTAGAACGGTTATTCTTACTAATGAACGCAAATTATCTTCAAGCAAACTCTTCTCTGAATGTGGCTTCTGCTTTGCCTGAATGAGCTCTGACTTCCTTCTCTTCTTGCAAGATTCAGAGATGCATGGCTTAATTCCTTGATCACAAGATGCATCAAGCAGCTTTCTTTTCTCTTACTGCTTGATGAAAAGGGAGATTGATTCTCTGTATGAGGACAGCTTCAACTAACCGGCGTTATTTGCCATCCCCTTTCCTCTAAATATCTTTTTCTTAAAGTCACCCTGACTTTTCTAATTATTTCTTTTTTACAACACCGCCCTCCCCCATTGCTGGCCTTAGTTCTTTTCTGATGGGAACACAGGGATCTTGGCATGTGCCTGAGATGGATGTGCTGAAGCATGATTAAAAATGGGAGCATGGTGGGGATGAAGAAGCAAATGGAAGGGAACTCCTCTGATGAGAACTATGCCACATTTGGGGCGTAAGAAGGAGCCACACCTCAGTGGAAGGCACTGTGTTACAGAGGGCTCCCCACTGCCACAGGGAGCAGCACTGTCCAGTGTAGGGTCCCACTGCAACAGAGGGTCCCCCAACAGCAGCCCACTGGGGTCCCACGACAGGAGCTGACACTACAGGTAGATGCCTGCTGAGCTGTGGAAGCATAAAATCACAGAATGGTTTTGGTTGGAAGGGACCTTAAAGCTCATCCAGTTCCAAGCCCCCTGCCACGGGCAGGGACACCTTCCACTAGACCAGGTTGCTCAAAGCCCCGTCCAACCTGGCGGGGGTGGGGCCAGCCACAGCTTCTCTGGGCACCCTGTGCCAGTGTCTCGCCACCCTCACAGCGAAGAATTTCTTCCTCATATCTAATCTAGATTCTCCTCTCTTTCAGCTTAAAGCCATTCCCCCTTGTCCTATCACTGCATGCTCTTGTAAAAAGTCCCTCTCCAGCTTTCTTGTAGGCCCTTTTAGGTAGTGGAAGGCTGCTCTAATGTCTCCGCAAAGACTTCTCCAGGCTGACACCCAACTCTCTCTGCCTGCCTGTGGCATGGATGTGATGCTGGGACAGCCCACCACAGTACCTGCAGTGTTTTGGGAGGGCTGGGCAGAGCATCAGTATCATTTCTGAAGTCCAAAGCAGGTTCTTTCTCTTTGCCCATGGATGCGCCTAATTCACTCTGTCCTGCTGCCTGCACCTCCCACTCCTGCATGATCCTCCCCCACCAGTGGCACTGTCTCTGCCTGACATAGCGGTGTAGAGCTACAAACCCATCGGGCTTGACCCAGGACACGGAGCATACACCACAGCTGTGGCCCAGCTGGCTCCCCATGGACACAAACTGCCCAGGCACACCAAACCCCACAGCTGTGGGGACAACACTGCTGTGGCAGGGACATGGGAAGCCACCAGCCCAGGGTTTACTGGGGAAAAGTGGTGGAGAAGGGGCACAACCAAGCTGAAATTCAGACTGGGTAGACAGCCCTGTTTTGTTATGGGAGATGTTTGTTAAACAAAGGCCAGTGCTGAATAAGTGAGTTTGCAAAAGCTCGGCATCTCCCTGCACCTGGGCCCCCCCATGGGGATTATGGAGCTCACCTCCTGCTTCACCCATAGGCAGCGCTGGGACGGCAGCTGCTGTGGCACAAAAACACCACGCAAAATCCCTGGGTGTACAATGGGTGTACCTTAGAGTGATATTTCTTCTCTTAAGACTCCTTTCCTGCTACAGCATCCTACACTTGCTGTCGTGGAGCAACAGCTTCACAGTGATCTGTGTTTCCTCTCACTGGCTGCTGGAAAGGGGAAACCCTGAGCAATAGGGACTTCCACACAGGGATTTGTGATGCTGTCACCTTCCTGAAAAGATACTGAGAGTTAATTTTCCATATCTTTTTCTACACTTCCAAATATTAAGGTCACGGAATGCCATAAATGCTCTGCTTGCTTCTGATACGGAAACGTGAACATTTTATTCTGATCAAGCAGACTAAAAACATTTTATCAAGGGTACACCATCTCTCAAAAGCACACTGCTGTTTCTCAAGCACACTTAGAGCTAATCAACCTGAAACTGCCTCTTTCTAATTTTGCTCTTTGGTGGCAACAACAGAAACATATTTTGTAGGTGCAAGCTCCTCTCTGCTATTTGTGCAATTAAATCCTGATCTCTTTCTTAATAACCCAGAGCAAAAGATACAAGCTGACAAGAGTTGCCAAAATCATTACCCAATTAACTGCAGGTATTCATACAGATTAATTGCAGGTACAGGCATTTGCTCTTACATTTAAAGGTTCCTTGTACATTTAAAGGAGAGGGTCTCAGGTTCATTCCTTCCAGACAGCATTTCGTACATCAGGTCCCTGCTTAGAGCTGCTACTGGGAGCAGCCCCTGTCTCCAGCGAACCCAAAGGTAGGTAGCAGATTAGCCTTTATCCATATTTAATTCCTCAGAACATGCTGCCTGCTCAAATTTCCACAGCAGCTTAGACTGAATACTGCATTATTTTTTTGTTTCCCGGTTTTACATTTCACAGGGTCACTGCACATAGCCCCTTGATGGGCAGATTACATTTAGTGATATGCTATACTGAAGTTAAGCTAGTTTGTGCAATCTACTATTAAAAGTCTCCAATATCCATCTGAATTAAAGGCATTGTATATGAACATGATACGATTTTTTTTTCTTTTCAAGCTGAAACTAGGCTCTTTTTCTAATAAAACAGAGAGCAACTTCGCAACTAAGATACATGAAAATATCCCCTGAAATACAGGAGAAACATCAGTTCTGATTTCATTCAACTGACGCTTAAAAACAAATTATTTCTATCCTTTCCTGTTGTCACTTTGGGTTGCATGTGTGCTGCTAAACAGACACAAATGTAAATCAAAACAAGGGATTTTAATAAAGAACAATTGACAGTCAATATTCATTGCAGGTTTTTTTGGTCTTCAGCAGAAAGCTGTAATCCTCCAGTGACAGCTGAATATTGAAGAAAAGTTTAATGAAGAACACGTTGGAAATAATTTTTCATGGTGGCAGGTTACAGATGTTGCTTGCCAAATCTAACCTCAGGATGATAAAACAGAATTTTCCAAAAATTAATCTATTCAATGGTTTGCCAGGCAAGAACATGACGCTGGATGGACTAAAAGCGAGTTTAAATTTACTGCAAGGTGTAACTGCTTATATAAAACAATTTCACAAGTCATTTGCCAATTACGGATAAAAGTTCGTTTCACACAACATTTCTCAGAGAAGGATGGAAAGCTGTCGTGTCTAATACCATGTTTGCTCTCAGTCAGTCCTGGAACAGCCCCTCTCAGTTCAACGGGATTTCAGTAGGTACCCACAAAACACACAACCATGCAGCCATAAGAAGGGGAGAAGGAGCCAGATCTAGGTGCCTGCACACTTTTTTGACAGGCCAGGAGTTTTTCTATGGTTGTAAAACTATATACTTTCTTTTAAACAGATTACCAACTCATCAACATTAAAATTTAAAATGTAGCTATGACCTGCTCGAAAGAATGGCTGTTCTACATTACCGTTCTCCATGCAAACTCCTAATAGAAAAGCTTTAAATCTTGAGATGCTGGAAGACAAAGCAGATTTTTGTATTTATTATCCACTCACTGCTCTCCTCTATCGGCTGACAGCGAGTGTTATTTTTGTAATTGCTCCTTGAAGACATCCCACATGAAACAGCTTTTCCCAGCACAATCTGACATTGTTCCAGCTCTCCTGAGCGCTCTCCAAACAAGTTTCCACTGCAGCCTCCAAGAACACTGACCTTGTGAACACCCTGGGCAGGTCTAATTTAGATTGCAAGAGCTAAACTTCAGGAAATGAACATGAGCCTAGAGCTGAAGTGTGTTTTCCATAAGTTCAAAAAGAGGTAAAATCAGAAACAGCTATTCCATAATCCTATGGACAGGCTGAGATGACCATCCTGCAGCCTCAAGGAAAGGTTTCCAGCTATCAGGCAAAGGCAGAGCTGGGATTTTTGCTTTCCGTTCAGCCATTGACACTGCTATGGCACCCTCTGTATATAGCTGTCACAGTCTTCCCCTGTTCCGCACCCCTGTTGCTGCCTACCAAAAAGATGGTCACTGCTTGTCACTCATGGGCAAGCCCAGCCCAAAGGCACTCAAATCTGCATAGGTTGTGAGAGACTGAGAGGAACACATGTAAGCTGAATGCATATTCAATGCACTTGGAAAGAATAATTGAATAGTTTGGGTTGGAAGGGACCTACAAAGGTCATCTGGTCCAACTCCCCAGCAATGAGCAGCGATAACTTCAACTAGCTCAGGTTGCTCAGAACCATATCCAGCCTGGCCTTTAATGTTTCCAGGGATGGTGCATCCACCACCTCTCTGGGCAACCTGTGCCAGTGTTTTACCACCCCCCTTGTCAAGAATTTTGTCCTTATATGCAGCCTGAATCTCCCCTCTCTTAGTTTAAACTATTACCCCTTGCCTATTGCAACAGGCCCTGCTAAAAAGTCTCTCCCCATCTTCCTTATAGGCCCCTTTTAAGAACTGAAAGGCGACATCACTGGCACCTAAGTTAAAGGAAATTTTCTTGTTGTACCTTCCATCTCAGCCCAACCACAGAAAGCACTGTCCTTGCTCAAGCTATAATGAGGCAGAAAGATTTTCCAATTCATCAACTACCTCTGTTTTAAAGAATATGTTGAAAAGCTGCTCCTACTAGCTGAGGCACACTCTCCTCCTCAACCAATGCACTCTAGACCACAACCAGCCTTCAAGCCACAGCTAAGACCTCAACCATGGAGCAACCCCAGGCTCCCTTCTGTATCAACCACCCTCTTACAACTGTTTCAAAGACAAATATTTGCAGCAGTGGCTTCTCAACAGCAGCTTCTCAACAGCTTATCTCAGAGCTGTGTCATGCATCTGACCCATTTCACCTTTTTTTTTTTTTCTTTTTTAAATTTGTGTTTACAGGGTCTTTGATCTGTTTGTTACAGACAAGTTTTGCTACATTCTTAAACAGGTATTTCTTTCTGGATCATTGTTCAGATATCTGTAACACTACCTGGAGCCTGTGGCTATGTATCTATCTCTGCATTATTTAAAGCAAAGCAAAATACAAGGCATCCTGGATCCAGGAGGATTACTGCCTCGGAAGGCAACAGGAGGAAGAAGAACATGCCGGAGCAGTTATGTACCCAACTGTACAGAGGAAGAGCCTCTGGTACAGATTAGGTTCTTTAGCTCTGCTCCTTCGTATCAGTGGCATTTCTGTAACAATTTATTTTATTCAGTCATCTTGCCTTTTGAAAACAAATGGTTTCTCCATTTCAGACTTTTGGTTTTTTAAATATCACCTGAAGTGCTTATTAAAAATCTAGCTATTTTGAGCAAGCAGGGTTCCAACATCTAAAACAAAAGGCATTTAGAACAGCCTAGCTAAAGGCATGAGACAACACATACACAGTGTATTTTTAAACACCTAACTACAAAACGTTCTCACCATTTCAGCTCTGCATGACCATTGCTTTACAGTGAAAAAAACACCACAGTTTTAAGTTGCAAGGCAAGCTACTGATAAACTGCCAAAGCATAGCAACTTCAGTTAACACAGTGGTAACAGCAGCAGAGACCAACCACATCTGTCAGGCAAAAACCTGCTAATAGCACTTCCAGGGTTTCCCCAGATTCCATCCTCTGGCACTACCGAGAACCATTTACATCCACGTGCCACACCTTTGTGCATACAGGGGGAAGGCACTTCAGGAATAGGGAAGCATTCTTCCAGCAGCCCCAAGCAGAATGTTTTATGCCAACACGAAGAACTACAAGGCTTATAATTCAGCACACGCTTGTGCACACACACATGCACATAACATGAAACAAACACCAAAACCATTTTCAAACAACTCTCGAGTCTCACGTTGAAGCTTAACAGCAGAAGTATTTTATAGACTAGAAAAATTCGATTACTGAGCAGAGGTTAAAAACCCCCAAAAGTACAAACACAACTGTTTCCACTCAGCAGAGCACTGCGAGCAAGCAGGGCAGGAGCAGGGCACTCATGCTCAGTCACTGCAAGGGTCGTCCAAGTCCTCTCTCTTGCACAACAGTCAGCTGCAGATGCCTACAGAAACTCAAGCACATGAATCACGCGGTACTTCAAGTAGGAAGACTGACAATGCCAGCATACCGCAAAATATTGATCTGAATTGCACAGCTACCAGGACATGTGAGTCAGCACTCTTAATCAAAAGATTTCAATTATTAAGGAGTGTTGGTTAGAAAAATGCCGCCAGGGACTAAAGGCTGCTGATGCATACTAATATTCATAAGCATTGAAGTATAGCTGAAAGAAATCCCATCTCCTACACTCAACCTTTTGTCTTTAATATGCAAATGCTAATGAATCTTTCATCAGCATGTGACATGGAAAAGGTGGACACTTTCATCTAATGTCAATCTTACTGAGAAGTTTAAGAACCATTGAGAAATACCTGACAGTCTCCACACCAAGTAAATTATTTTCATGATAGCAGTGCCTACAGAATTAGGCCAGAGGTTGCTATATACATTGCTGATACTTCATTCTGTCTTTCCTTTGAAAGCAAAGCCTAGTATCACCTTCACTAAATAAATGACTGTAAGAGTGTGTAAAAAGCCTGCAGGGGTGAAACAGAAAGTAAATTGTTTTCAAAACCTCCTTGCCTTTTTCTTCTCACTATTGGGAAAATGAATGCTCCAAGAACAGCATTCATCCACCTGAAATTGTTCTAGCTGTGTTTCATATTCACTAGTTTCTATCAGATCCATATAAAAAACTCTCTGGGTCAATAAATACATCTTGTGCCAATAAATTTGTATAGGGTGAAATTTTAATAAAGCTTATAACACTTGGAACACAAAAATTAAAAGTCTGAAAACAGGTTACTCCAGATTTTAGAACTCAGTGTAAAGATACCAACAAGCAGTACAGATTTTTTATAAGAGTATGAGTCCACTTATTCACTGAACTGCTTCACATTCTTTGTAGATAATCAGTTCCTCAGCCCCTGGATATGGAAATGCAGATATTCAGCACGTCACTCTCTGAAACGCTGTACACACAGCCTTGCCAAAATCACTATTAAGACCTGAAATCCCACGAAAATCTGCAGAGTACACAGAATTGGGTTATAGATGTTTTCTCTGCTTTTCAAATCTTACTGTAGAAACAGGGGAGCAAGCATAATGTCCCAAGTAAAACGGCAAGAACAGAGCTGTCACACTGCCCCATCCAAACAAGTAGATTGCAGGAAGTGTCCAGAGGGCTTATCCGAATTTCTCCTGATGCAATCCTCTGCTAAGAGCATTTCATTCTCTTGGACATGAGACATGAGTTTCATAAAGCCCATCCTACAAATGGTTAATACCATGTATTTTGTAGGTTGCAAATACGCTTCCTTAAAGGCACTAGTGATTCCAAGGATTTCTGTTCATTTTCCGGCTCACCTCTTCTCTTCCAAGAACGCATCTAGGGATATAACACAGAGAAGGTCCAGGAGATTACGGAAGAGAACCCACGCCCTCCAACTCCTGCCCACTCTGCAGAGACATTATCCTGAACTCCCTCAACCACAGGCAAATGACACTGCAAGAGGAGCTTGATGGAGGCAGGATATAACTATCCCACACTGGAATTTTGCCAGTGCTAGCACCGGGCCAATCAAAATACACATCTGTTCCTAAAAACTTTCATTTTCTGGGGGCTGAACTGAAAGAAGTATGGAAACCTTACTGCTATTGACAGTGAATGGAGAGTTCTTCTTCAGCTCAAGTGGAAATGCTGTGTTTTGCACGGAGGCTGAACCAGCACCCAGCAGGAATTTTTTTTTGTTTTGTTTTGTTTGTTTGTTTGTTTCTGAATACATTTTAGGGAAAGGTAGTATATTCTTGTGGTTTTAGCATTTGAGATCACTTCAGCAACGAAGCTGTTAATTATTTCACGGAATACTTTACACAAGCAGTATATCCATTAGCATATTTTCATCTTGAGAGTCATTTTCACTGACTTAAAATGTGGCACTCATTTATAAGCTTAAATTCATAATTTAAAATGACATTTATTATTAACTTAAATGTATTTCAATATACTTATTTTTTTAATCCATTCAAAACGCTGGCTATACAAACAAAACTGAAATTAAATGTAACTTGAAGATCAGCCTTAACAACTAAACTTTTGTTGGAAAGGTTTCTGCAATCTGTCCAAGCCTTTTTTATAAATGGAAGAATGGTCTCTCCATTGCCACAGTTCAGATATGGATTAAAGCACATACCCTGAGTATAAAATAAATTAATTGAAAATACTGAGATTTTACAATGGAGCATGAAGCCATTTATAATGTAGGATTTATCTAGCCTGCTTAAAACCACTTGACTGAATCTTGCAGTTTGTTATTATAGAGAGAATTCTTATCCTACCTTTTGTCAAATTTCAGTCTCTTAACAGCACATCATGGACTGAGAAATCAATTATTTTTTGGAAAAAAAAACACTGATTTGGATGGAAGTAATTTTTTTTTGTCAAAGTCAAAATTCAGTTTGCGTATTACTCATATAAAACAAATATGTATTACAGAAAAATCCACTTTATTTATATACATAATGAAGTGTTAAGACTGAATTCACCTTACCCTCTGAAGAAGCTAACATCAACTCTTTGTTCAAATTATTCTTCAATAAATGAGCTAACTTACAAAGTTCAGCAAATAATTCCATTATGTTCTCATATTAAAACATCATCATAAAAAGCTTTGGTGTGAATAACACTTTGT